AATAGGCAGAACACGGCCGAAACCACGACCTCGCCCGTCACTCCTCATCTGACCTCTTCCTCGACTCCCACGTTCACTTCTTGGTCCCGCACCGCGTGTAACACCACGCCCACGATCGAACCCTCTGCTTTCAAATCCTCGCCCACCTCTTCTACGGCTTCCAAAGTTGTCAGCGAAAGAAAAATCAATGTCGATCGACTGATGCTCCTATATCGAATCTAGTGTAAATACATAAAAACGAAACATACCTCAGGCTCGTTTTCCTTTTCCTCCACCTCGTAGATATCCTCGTGGACCTCCTGTATTTTTCTGTGAGCCACCATGTTTGCAAACACATCTTTGCCATCATTAGCTTTGCGTAGACCTTTGCTGTTCAGTAAGATGGCTGGTTTGGAAGACTGGCGCATGGCCTTGTATTCTTCCAATGTGTAGCTTTTTGGTTCTTCCTCAACTGTGGTTTCTGCGTTGGCAACCACACCCTCCTCATTCTCCGCTGTGGCATGCTCTGACTGGTCCTCGACCTCGTTACGATCGTCTGCGAAACGCACAACTTGCTCCGAGTCACCACTCTCAGGCATTGTTTGACCATCAACATCCTGAGCATTCCAATTTCCATCTCTTCGACCATATTGTCTTGGGCCCCTACAGAATAAAAGGCTATTGTTAACCGAGTTATGTAAGCCTAAGCATGCATCAGACTGTGTTTCCGCATTGCATAGGACAGGGATAACAGTTCATCATTATAAAATTATTTGAGTAAAAACCACTTACTGACGATCTGGACCATCCTGATTGTCGAAGTCTCGGTTCGAATTGAATGGCATCCCACGACCTCGACCAAACATTGCTCTTCCTCTACCTCTCCCACGTCCTCTAGGCTCGAAACTTGGCCCTCTTGTAAGTAATCACTGAGATCACAACAAGCTTACCTGGTAGCATTCAAATCACTCACCGAATCTTGAGGTGCTTCTGTCGGAGCCATTCGAGGCCCTTGTCCTCTGCCTACACGCATCCCTCGAGGTGTTCCTCTACCTGAACCACGACCACGCACAAAGGCACTAATTGATTCATCTGTCCCCTTTGCGGATGTGATTTGTGCGTCTTCAGGTGGCACTGGTGGCGGCTCTGTGACGTTGGTGGTTTTCGACACTCGAGAACCAACTTAAATAGCTAATACTACACATTTGCTTACCTTTCGGAGCTGCAGTCTCAACCTTCACCTCACTCTTAGTTGTCGTGTCGACCTTTGCAGGTGCCACATGTTGCTGTTGCACATGTGACTTATCCTTTTTAGTCTTTTCACTTCGTTTACTCTGCAACTTGGATAGCAGGATATCCGGGTCTTCACTATTCAGAGTGTCGTCCAGGAACAGTGAGAACCTGCTCTTCACTTCCACAGAGTACTGATAGGCGTGGTCAACACCAGCCATAACTAAAAAACACACTGTGAGCGGACAGTCAACATGATCATCGCAGAGGAACGGAAATGGTGTGTCCTCATCCAGCAAAACACAGCGATCACTAGTCAAAGACAATTGAACGGTAAGAGGCGGTCGGTACTATTTGTTGATGGTTCTTACGGTCCTCATTAACTAAGGAGTGATTTCAGACGAGAAAATTGCGAGATGCACTATCAGAATTCAACAGTCAATGTGCGGTGGCCCACAAGAGTTAGTATGCACTCGATGCAATGGCCGATTGCATGCTGACTATAATCCCTCAATAATTAATCTATATGTGAGGTCTGTATAGCTTGGTACCGTTTCCTTAAGTGTTTAGGTTGACATCGTAGGGTACCAGCACTCCCAAGCTGAAAAAGATTTAGGAGGCTGGTACCCTGAGATTTTAAGTCTTACGCTAACTGTGACAAAAATGCCTTTCTAGCAAACCCTACACTGGTAATATTGAAGCGCATTTTTGGCCAGTTCGACGGTAGAACGTTCCACATAATCCTCAACAGTTTTATTCGTCCTCATTTAGGATGCGGAAGCATAGAATTTCCTTCCTCACTCCAAAAGGATAAGGACCCTCTGGAGCGTATCCAATGGCGAGCCACGAAATCAGTTCGGGGACTCAAATTCAGGCCTTATGAAGAGCGCCTTCAATCACTAAACCTTTACTCACCAGAGTATAGGCGTCTTCGAGGTGACCTAATGGCCTACAGTGTCCTTAACACTTCTGGACATCCTCTTAAACACCTACTCAAGTTTAGCTCCAACACAAACTTAAGGGGTAGTGCCCATAAACTAGAGGCACAAGACAGGAGAATGGACTTTAGACACAAATTCTACTCCTTAAGAGTTTACAAATGCTGAGCTAGTTCAAGAGACTTCTCAGGAGTACTTTAAAAGGCAACTTGACCTGTTCTTAAGGAATAGGGATAATATCTTACTATGATTTACCAATTTTTCCTCTATTATCGTTAACATGCATGGAGTCCTGCCTAGAGGTATTGGTGATCCACTGCTACATGACACGGAAGCTTGTTAAGCGAAAGCTTCTTCTATTCCGTCCACAACCATTTGAACCATTTGAACATTCAGAGTGAAACGACCAAAATGAATGACTCATTGTGGTGGCGAACACTAACAAGCTTTTCTCAGTCACTGCTGTCTTGCAGATTATTTTTGTGGTCTTCAGTCACGTGACCGAACCCGTTCGACCACAAAATGATCACCATCATTCCGCAATTGATGTTGTCTCTAAACGAATGAGGATGAAAGGGTGAAGCTACAAATATTGAGTTCTGACCATGAAATGGTTTGTTTTTGAGATGACGAACATTCGTTACGTTCGTCTTCGAGATAGACTATTCCCTAGAGCAACGTCTGAATTGGCAAGTTGTGATAGTACTAATGTAAAATTGCCACATAAGTAATTAGCTGCGACGATAGTATTGGACGAGTGGATACGCCATCACCAAATCCTAGATACCAGATTGCTGTATAAATAAGGGGACATATGGGTGGTGGTCGGTTTCCGTCATGGTTGAACAACCTTCCCGTTGGGTGTGGATAGGTACTATGCATTGATTCTACGCTGACTGGCTGAAAAACAGTGCGTATCAGTGTTCCTCAGGACACTCTCAGAGCCAGGAATACTTGTTTTACACGTAAGTGACTCGTCTAGTATTTTCCATCATCATCAGTCTTCCTAAATACCGATAATACCATCACATGGAGAGAGATACTAGGAGAACGAGGTACCGCGGGGCTATAGAAAGACCCAAATTAACTGACGAAATGGCCTGACGCTTAACAAAGCTGAATCATACGGAAGAATACGAGGTGACCTGACCGCAGTCTTCACATCACTTAACGATAACCTCACACCTGATATACCCTCATTTTCTTACCTTCCACAACTGTAGATTTGCCGCACACAGGAGAGGCCATGAACTCAGGACCAAATTCTTCCAGCTGACTACCGACGTTCAAACCGAGCTATAAATGCGTGAAGCATTCCGTATCAACGCGTGCCGACAACACCTTCCATAAATTTACTCGGAAGGAGACTGCACAAACTGAGAGACCTTGATAGTCACGACTACCACGAGCCTTTCCAAGACAAAACGAATCATTGCGAAATGTAATGAACTAATTTGGTAGACTTCTACAACGTGAAAAGTCTCACCGCACACGCATTCGTGAACTTACTTCCCACCTTTCGTCATCTCCTTCAGGTGATTAGCAATTGCAATCATCTCGTGAATGCAGACTACTTGGTTGGTGTCCGCGCGACTATCGTAACCAATGGTTGGAGACTTTGGGTGACATGGCTCAGAATCGACCACAACCAAGTAGGTGTATACATTTCGTCTTCCCTTAAACCGTGAGATCAAACTTACTTTATATCTTCCTTTCAACGAACTCATTCTTTCTCCCCGTATCATATTTTCATACACAACCCTTTTTTATTTATTACTACCACTGAAGTAATTGCTTATATGAATTTGTTGTTCATGTTGTTGTGCTAATGAGGTACGGTATCTTGGCCGATGCATGCATGTGCCTGGTCCTGCGTTGTAGCCGACTGAATGTAAATCACTGTACAGCTAACGGCCGTCGCAAGCATGAGAAAATTCTGGGCAATGTGGAGAGCATCCCAACAACCTTGTAATCCTGACGCGCACAACGCCCATTCGATGAACATAACAGAGATGGTTGGCCACAATACAGCCACCTCATAGTGCAAAGTCCATACAAGACCGAGTCAGGCGACCATTAGTGTGGTTCGTATCTGTCAAGCATGAGTTGCCAGGTTCAACATCCTTGGTCTACTGGAGTACGAGCCCAACACAAGTGCTCACCCCGTTCGAGTCATCCCAACCAAGTTGCCAGCAAACCAGACACGAATCTAACGTTATACAAACCCACACAACCATACATTAGGATCACACTCGGCTACTAACAGCTATCGTGAACAGTGAAAGTAGTCCAACACGAACACATTAGCTGGAAACGAGTCTAACCGTACCACACCGAACTACTCCCAGTTGTCTCATGCGATGTGAGTATGATGTTTGTACACTAGACCGGCATAGATGCCTGGCACTTATCACGAGACAGGTGAGAACCGCAGACAGACCCCTGTGAGAATGCTGGAGTTAGGAACTATGTGGCTAAAAGCGTTATCCCATGTGCGTCCAAAGCACAAACAGTTCAACATACCCAAACAGGAATCAGTACAAACACACTGTGAAAAAGCTGAAGAAGGTAATCTTATTAATGTTTATTTAGGGCGATTGATCACATCAACCGCAAAACTGTAACATTCTGAAAACACTCATGTACAAAGCTTTGCAATTAGCTCTCAAGCAGCACAGCCAAATCCAGTCCTCGAACTGCTTTTAGGAGAAACTAGATTACAAAGCTGAAGTTTAATAGGGAGGGATGAGTATGGGTAAGTAGAGGCTTGGACTAAAAGCCTTTGAGGAAGTAAGAGTTGACAAGGAAGAATATTATTAATCCAACAGTCTGTTTCCATTTTCTTTTAGGAATTCACTTCAAGGAAGGAAACTCCTGGTCGTTGTAAATTGCTGGAGGTGGAATGTGATCGTTAATAGGCAGAACACGGCCGAAACCACGACCTCGCCCGTCACTCCTCATCTGACCTCTTCCTCGACTCCCACGTTCACTTCTTGGTCCCGCACCGCGTGTAACACCACGCCCACGATCGAACCCTCTGCTTTCAAATCCTCGCCCACCTCTTCTACGGCTTCCAAAGTTGTCAGCGAAAGAAAAATCAATGTCGATCGACTGATGCTCCTATATCGAATCTAGTGTAAATACATAAAAACGAAACATACCTCAGGCTCGTTTTCCTTTTCCTCCACCTCGTAGATATCCTCGTGGACCTCCTGTATTTTTCTGTGAGCCACCATGTTTGCAAACACATCTTTGCCATCATTAGCTTTGCGTAGACCTTTGCTGTTCAGTAAGATGGCTGGTTTGGAAGACTGGCGCATGGCCTTGTATTCTTCCAATGTGTAGCTTTTTGGTTCTTCCTCAACTGTGGTTTCTGCGTTGGCAACCACACCCTCCTCATTCTCCGCTGTGGCATGCTCTGACTGGTCCTCGACCTCGTTACGATCGTCTGCGAAACGCACAACTTGCTCCGAGTCACCACTCTCAGGCATTGTTTGACCATCAACATCCTGAGCATTCCAATTTCCATCTCTTCGACCATATTGTCTTGGGCCCCTACAGAATAAAAGGCTATTGTTAACCGAGTTATGTAAGCCTAAGCATGCATCAGACTGTGTTTCCGCATTGCATAGGACAGGGATAACAGTTCATCATTATAAAATTATTTGAGTAAAAACCACTTACTGACGATCTGGACCATCCTGATTGTCGAAGTCTCGGTTCGAATTGAATGGCATCCCACGACCTCGACCAAACATTGCTCTTCCTCTACCTCTCCCACGTCCTCTAGGCTCGAAACTTGGCCCTCTTGTAAGTAATCACTGAGATCACAACAAGCTTACCTGGTAGCATTCAAATCACTCACCGAATCTTGAGGTGCTTCTGTCGGAGCCATTCGAGGCCCTTGTCCTCTGCCTACACGCATCCCTCGAGGTGTTCCTCTACCTGAACCACGACCACGCACAAAGGCACTAATTGATTCATCTGTCCCCTTTGCGGATGTGATTTGTGCGTCTTCAGGTGGCACTGGTGGCGGCTCTGTGACGTTGGTGGTTTTCGACACTCGAGAACCAACTTAAATAGCTAATACTACACATTTGCTTACCTTTCGGAGCTGCAGTCTCAACCTTCACCTCACTCTTAGTTGTCGTGTCGACCTTTGCAGGTGCCACATGTTGCTGTTGCACATGTGACTTATCCTTTTTAGTCTTTTCACTTCGTTTACTCTGCAACTTGGATAGCAGGATATCCGGGTCTTCACTATTCAGAGTGTCGTCCAGGAACAGTGAGAACCTGCTCTTCACTTCCACAGAGTACTGATAGGCGTGGTCAACACCAGCCATAACTAAAAAACACACTGTGAGCGGACAGTCAACATGATCATCGCAGAGGAACGGAAATGGTGTGTCCTCATCCAGCAAAACACAGCGATCACTAGTCAAAGACAATTGAACGGTAAGAGGCGGTCGGTACTATTTGTTGATGGTTCTTACGGTCCTCATTAACTAAGGAGTGATTTCAGACGAGAAAATTGCGAGATGCACTATCAGAATTCAACAGTCAATGTGCGGTGGCCCACAAGAGTTAGTATGCACTCGATGCAATGGCCGATTGCATGCTGACTATAATCCCTCAATAATTAATCTATATGTGAGGTCTGTATAGCTTGGTACCGTTTCCTTAAGTGTTTAGGTTGACATCGTAGGGTACCAGCACTCCCAAGCTGAAAAAGATTTAGGAGGCTGGTACCCTGAGATTTTAAGTCTTACGCTAACTGTGACAAAAATGCCTTTCTAGCAAACCCTACACTGGTAATATTGAAGCGCATTTTTGGCCAGTTCGACGGTAGAACGTTCCACATAATCCTCAACAGTTTTATTCGTCCTCATTTAGGATGCGGAAGCATAGAATTTCCTTCCTCACTCCAAAAGGATAAGGACCCTCTGGAGCGTATCCAATGGCGAGCCACGAAATCAGTTCGGGGACTCAAATTCAGGCCTTATGAAGAGCGCCTTCAATCACTAAACCTTTACTCACCAGAGTATAGGCGTCTTCGAGGTGACCTAATGGCCTACAGTGTCCTTAACACTTCTGGACATCCTCTTAAACACCTACTCAAGTTTAGCTCCAACACAAACTTAAGGGGTAGTGCCCATAAACTAGAGGCACAAGACAGGAGAATGGACTTTAGACACAAATTCTACTCCTTAAGAGTTTACAAATGCTGAGCTAGTTCAAGAGACTTCTCAGGAGTACTTTAAAAGGCAACTTGACCTGTTCTTAAGGAATAGGGATAATATCTTACTATGATTTACCAATTTTTCCTCTATTATCGTTAACATGCATGGAGTCCTGCCTAGAGGTATTGGTGATCCACTGCTACATGACACGGAAGCTTGTTAAGCGAAAGCTTCTTCTATTCCGTCCACAACCATTTGAACCATTTGAACATTCAGAGTGAAACGACCAAAATGAATGACTCATTGTGGTGGCGAACACTAACAAGCTTTTCTCAGTCACTGCTGTCTTGCAGATTATTTTTGTGGTCTTCAGTCACGTGACCGAACCCGTTCGACCACAAAATGATCACCATCATTCCGCAATTGATGTTGTCTCTAAACGAATGAGGATGAAAGGGTGAAGCTACAAATATTGAGTTCTGACCATGAAATGGTTTGTTTTTGAGATGACGAACATTCGTTACGTTCGTCTTCGAGATAGACTATTCCCTAGAGCAACGTCTGAATTGGCAAGTTGTGATAGTACTAATGTAAAATTGCCACATAAGTAATTAGCTGCGACGATAGTATTGGACGAGTGGATACGCCATCACCAAATCCTAGATACCAGATTGCTGTATAAATAAGGGGACATATGGGTGGTGGTCGGTTTCCGTCATGGTTGAACAACCTTCCCGTTGGGTGTGGATAGGTACTATGCATTGATTCTACGCTGACTGGCTGAAAAACAGTGCGTATCAGTGTTCCTCAGGACACTCTCAGAGCCAGGAATACTTGTTTTACACGTAAGTGACTCGTCTAGTATTTTCCATCATCATCAGTCTTCCTAAATACCGATAATACCATCACATGGAGAGAGATACTAGGAGAACGAGGTACCGCGGGGCTATAGAAAGACCCAAATTAACTGACGAAATGGCCTGACGCTTAACAAAGCTGAATCATACGGAAGAATACGAGGTGACCTGACCGCAGTCTTCACATCACTTAACGATAACCTCACACCTGATATACCCTCATTTTCTTACCTTCCACAACTGTAGATTTGCCGCACACAGGAGAGGCCATGAACTCAGGACCAAATTCTTCCAGCTGACTACCGACGTTCAAACCGAGCTATAAATGCGTGAAGCATTCCGTATCAACGCGTGCCGACAACACCTTCCATAAATTTACTCGGAAGGAGACTGCACAAACTGAGAGACCTTGATAGTCACGACTACCACGAGCCTTTCCAAGACAAAACGAATCATTGCGAAATGTAATGAACTAATTTGGTAGACTTCTACAACGTGAAAAGTCTCACCGCACACGCATTCGTGAACTTACTTCCCACCTTTCGTCATCTCCTTCAGGTGATTAGCAATTGCAATCATCTCGTGAATGCAGACTACTTGGTTGGTGTCCGCGCGACTATCGTAACCAATGGTTGGAGACTTTGGGTGACATGGCTCAGAATCGACCACAACCAAGTAGGTGTATACATTTCGTCTTCCCTTAAACCGTGAGATCAAACTTACTTTATATCTTCCTTTCAACGAACTCATTCTTTCTCCCCGTATCATATTTTCATACACAACCCTTTTTTATTTATTACTACCACTGAAGTAATTGCTTATATGAATTTGTTGTTCATGTTGTTGTGCTAATGAGGTACGGTATCTTGGCCGATGCATGCATGTGCCTGGTCCTGCGTTGTAGCCGACTGAATGTAAATCACTGTACAGCTAACGGCCGTCGCAAGCATGAGAAAATTCTGGGCAATGTGGAGAGCATCCCAACAACCTTGTAATCCTGACGCGCACAACGCCCATTCGATGAACATAACAGAGATGGTTGGCCACAATACAGCCACCTCATAGTGCAAAGTCCATACAAGACCGAGTCAGGCGACCATTAGTGTGGTTCGTATCTGTCAAGCATGAGTTGCCAGGTTCAACATCCTTGGTCTACTGGAGTACGAGCCCAACACAAGTGCTCACCCCGTTCGAGTCATCCCAACCAAGTTGCCAGCAAACCAGACACGAATCTAACGTTATACAAACCCACACAACCATACATTAGGATCACACTCGGCTACTAACAGCTATCGTGAACAGTGAAAGTAGTCCAACACGAACACATTAGCTGGAAACGAGTCTAACCGTACCACACCGAACTACTCCCAGTTGTCTCATGCGATGTGAGTATGATGTTTGTACACTAGACCGGCATAGATGCCTGGCACTTATCACGAGACAGGTGAGAACCGCAGACAGACCCCTGTGAGAATGCTGGAGTTAGGAACTATGTGGCTAAAAGCGTTATCCCATGTGCGTCCAAAGCACAAACAGTTCAACATACCCAAACAGGAATCAGTACAAACACACTGTGAAAAAGCTGAAGAAGGTAATCTTATTAATGTTTATTTAGGGCGATTGATCACATCAACCGCAAAACTGTAACATTCTGAAAACACTCATGTACAAAGCTTTGCAATTAGCTCTCAAGCAGCACAGCCAAATCCAGTCCTCGAACTGCTTTTAGGAGAAACTAGATTACAAAGCTGAAGTTTAATAGGGAGGGATGAGTATGGGTAAGTAGAGGCTTGGACTAAAAGCCTTTGAGGAAGTAAGAGTTGACAAGGAAGAATATTATTAATCCAACAGTCTGTTTCCATTTTCTTTTAGGAATTCACTTCAAGGAAGGAAACTCCTGGTCGTTGTAAATTGCTGGAGGTGGAATGTGATCGTTAATAGGCAGAACACGGCCGAAACCACGACCTCGCCCGTCACTCCTCATCTGACCTCTTCCTCGACTCCCACGTTCACTTCTTGGTCCCGCACCGCGTGTAACACCACGCCCACGATCGAACCCTCTGCTTTCAAATCCTCGCCCACCTCTTCTACGGCTTCCAAAGTTGTCAGCGAAAGAAAAATCAATGTCGATCGACTGATGCTCCTATATCGAATCTAGTGTAAATACATAAAAACGAAACATACCTCAGGCTCGTTTTCCTTTTCCTCCACCTCGTAGATATCCTCGTGGACCTCCTGTATTTTTCTGTGAGCCACCATGTTTGCAAACACATCTTTGCCATCATTAGCTTTGCGTAGACCTTTGCTGTTCAGTAAGATGGCTGGTTTGGAAGACTGGCGCATGGCCTTGTATTCTTCCAATGTGTAGCTTTTTGGTTCTTCCTCAACTGTGGTTTCTGCGTTGGCAACCACACCCTCCTCATTCTCCGCTGTGGCATGCTCTGACTGGTCCTCGACCTCGTTACGATCGTCTGCGAAACGCACAACTTGCTCCGAGTCACCACTCTCAGGCATTGTTTGACCATCAACATCCTGAGCATTCCAATTTCCATCTCTTCGACCATATTGTCTTGGGCCCCTACAGAATAAAAGGCTATTGTTAACCGAGTTATGTAAGCCTAAGCATGCATCAGACTGTGTTTCCGCATTGCATAGGACAGGGATAACAGTTCATCATTATAAAATTATTTGAGTAAAAACCACTTACTGACGATCTGGACCATCCTGATTGTCGAAGTCTCGGTTCGAATTGAATGGCATCCCACGACCTCGACCAAACATTGCTCTTCCTCTACCTCTCCCACGTCCTCTAGGCTCGAAACTTGGCCCTCTTGTAAGTAATCACTGAGATCACAACAAGCTTACCTGGTAGCATTCAAATCACTCACCGAATCTTGAGGTGCTTCTGTCGGAGCCATTCGAGGCCCTTGTCCTCTGCCTACACGCATCCCTCGAGGTGTTCCTCTACCTGAACCACGACCACGCACAAAGGCACTAATTGATTCATCTGTCCCCTTTGCGGATGTGATTTGTGCGTCTTCAGGTGGCACTGGTGGCGGCTCTGTGACGTTGGTGGTTTTCGACACTCGAGAACCAACTTAAATAGCTAATACTACACATTTGCTTACCTTTCGGAGCTGCAGTCTCAACCTTCACCTCACTCTTAGTTGTCGTGTCGACCTTTGCAGGTGCCACATGTTGCTGTTGCACATGTGACTTATCCTTTTTAGTCTTTTCACTTCGTTTACTCTGCAACTTGGATAGCAGGATATCCGGGTCTTCACTATTCAGAGTGTCGTCCAGGAACAGTGAGAACCTGCTCTTCACTTCCACAGAGTACTGATAGGCGTGGTCAACACCAGCCATAACTAAAAAACACACTGTGAGCGGACAGTCAACATGATCATCGCAGAGGAACGGAAATGGTGTGTCCTCATCCAGCAAAACACAGCGATCACTAGTCAAAGACAATTGAACGGTAAGAGGCGGTCGGTACTATTTGTTGATGGTTCTTACGGTCCTCATTAACTAAGGAGTGATTTCAGACGAGAAAATTGCGAGATGCACTATCAGAATTCAACAGTCAATGTGCGGTGGCCCACAAGAGTTAGTATGCACTCGATGCAATGGCCGATTGCATGCTGACTATAATCCCTCAATAATTAATCTATATGTGAGGTCTGTATAGCTTGGTACCGTTTCCTTAAGTGTTTAGGTTGACATCGTAGGGTACCAGCACTCCCAAGCTGAAAAAGATTTAGGAGGCTGGTACCCTGAGATTTTAAGTCTTACGCTAACTGTGACAAAAATGCCTTTCTAGCAAACCCTACACTGGTAATATTGAAGCGCATTTTTGGCCAGTTCGACGGTAGAACGTTCCACATAATCCTCAACAGTTTTATTCGTCCTCATTTAGGATGCGGAAGCATAGAATTTCCTTCCTCACTCCAAAAGGATAAGGACCCTCTGGAGCGTATCCAATGGCGAGCCACGAAATCAGTTCGGGGACTCAAATTCAGGCCTTATGAAGAGCGCCTTCAATCACTAAACCTTTACTCACCAGAGTATAGGCGTCTTCGAGGTGACCTAATGGCCTACAGTGTCCTTAACACTTCTGGACATCCTCTTAAACACCTACTCAAGTTTAGCTCCAACACAAACTTAAGGGGTAGTGCCCATAAACTAGAGGCACAAGACAGGAGAATGGACTTTAGACACAAATTCTACTCCTTAAGAGTTTACAAATGCTGAGCTAGTTCAAGAGACTTCTCAGGAGTACTTTAAAAGGCAACTTGACCTGTTCTTAAGGAATAGGGATAATATCTTACTATGATTTACCAATTTTTCCTCTATTATCGTTAACATGCATGGAGTCCTGCCTAGAGGTATTGGTGATCCACTGCTACATGACACGGAAGCTTGTTAAGCGAAAGCTTCTTCTATTCCGTCCACAACCATTTGAACCATTTGAACATTCAGAGTGAAACGACCAAAATGAATGACTCATTGTGGTGGCGAACACTAACAAGCTTTTCTCAGTCACTGCTGTCTTGCAGATTATTTTTGTGGTCTTCAGTCACGTGACCGAACCCGTTCGACCACAAAATGATCACCATCATTCCGCAATTGATGTTGTCTCTAAACGAATGAGGATGAAAGGGTGAAGCTACAAATATTGAGTTCTGACCATGAAATGGTTTGTTTTTGAGATGACGAACATTCGTTACGTTCGTCTTCGAGATAGACTATTCCCTAGAGCAACGTCTGAATTGGCAAGTTGTGATAGTACTAATGTAAAATTGCCACATAAGTAATTAGCTGCGACGATAGTATTGGACGAGTGGATACGCCATCACCAAATCCTAGATACCAGATTGCTGTATAAATAAGGGGACATATGGGTGGTGGTCGGTTTCCGTCATGGTTGAACAACCTTCCCGTTGGGTGTGGATAGGTACTATGCATTGATTCTACGCTGACTGGCTGAAAAACAGTGCGTATCAGTGTTCCTCAGGACACTCTCAGAGCCAGGAATACTTGTTTTACACGTAAGTGACTCGTCTAGTATTTTCCATCATCATCAGTCTTCCTAAATACCGATAATACCATCACATGGAGAGAGATACTAGGAGAACGAGGTACCGCGGGGCTATAGAAAGACCCAAATTAACTGACGAAATGGCCTGACGCTTAACAAAGCTGAATCATACGGAAGAATACGAGGTGACCTGACCGCAGTCTTCACATCACTTAACGATAACCTCACACCTGATATACCCTCATTTTCTTACCTTCCACAACTGTAGATTTGCCGCACACAGGAGAGGCCATGAACTCAGGACCAAATTCTTCCAGCTGACTACCGACGTTCAAACCGAGCTATAAATGCGTGAAGCATTCCGTATCAACGCGTGCCGACAACACCTTCCATAAATTTACTCGGAAGGAGACTGCACAAACTGAGAGACCTTGATAGTCACGACTACCACGAGCCTTTCCAAGACAAAACGAATCATTGCGAAATGTAATGAACTAATTTGGTAGACTTCTACAACGTGAAAAGTCTCACCGCACACGCATTCGTGAACTTACTTCCCACCTTTCGTCATCTCCTTCAGGTGATTAGCAATTGCAATCATCTCGTGAATGCAGACTACTTGGTTGGTGTCCGCGCGACTATCGTAACCAATGGTTGGAGACTTTGGGTGACATGGCTCAGAATCGACCACAACCAAGTAGGTGTATACATTTCGTCTTCCCTTAAACCGTGAGATCAAACTTACTTTATATCTTCCTTTCAACGAACTCATTCTTTCTCCCCGTATCATATTTTCATACACAACCCTTTTTTATTTATTACTACCACTGAAGTAATTGCTTATATGAATTTGTTGTTCATGTTGTTGTGCTAATGAGGTACGGTATCTTGGCCGATGCATGCATGTGCCTGGTCCTGCGTTGTAGCCGACTGAATGTAAATCACTGTACAGCTAACGGCCGTCGCAAGCATGAGAAAATTCTGGGCAATGTGGAGAGCATCCCAACAACCTTGTAATCCTGACGCGCACAACGCCCATTCGATGAACATAACAGAGATGGTTGGCCACAATACAGCCACCTCATAGTGCAAAGTCCATACAAGACCGAGTCAGGCGACCATTAGTGTGGTTCGTATCTGTCAAGCATGAGTTGCCAGGTTCAACATCCTTGGTCTACTGGAGTACGAGCCCAACACAAGTGCTCACCCCGTTCGAGTCATCCCAACCAAGTTGCCAGCAAACCAGACACGAATCTAACGTTATACAAACCCACACAACCATACATTAGGATCACACTCGGCTACTAACAGCTATCGTGAACAGTGAAAGTAGTCCAACACGAACACACTAGCTGGAAACGAGTCTAACCGTACCACACCGAACTACTCCCAGTTGTCTCATGCGATGTGAGTATGATGTTTGTACACTAGACCGGCATAGATGCCTGGCACTTATCACGAGACAGGTGAGAACCGCAGACAGACCCCTGTGAGAATGCTGGAGTTAGGAACTATGTGGCTAAAAGCGTTATCCCATGTGCGTCCAAAGCACAAACAGTTCAACATACCCAAACAGGAATCAGTACAAACACACTGTGAAAAAGCTGAAGAAGGTAATCTTATTAATGTTTATTTAGGGCGATTGATCACATCAACCGCAAAACTGTAACATTCTGAAAACACTCATGTACAAAGCTTTGCAATTAGCTCTCAAGCAGCACAGCCAAATCCAGTCCTCGAACTGCTTTTAGGAGAAACTAGATTACAAAGCTGAAGTTTAATAGGGAGGGATGAGTATGGGTAAGTAGAGGCTTGGACTAAAAGCCTTTGAGGAAGTAAGAGTTGACAAGGAAGAATATTATTAATCCAACAGTCTGTTTCCATTTTCTTTTAGGAATTCACTTCAAGGAAGGGAACTCCTGGTCTTTGTGGTTCGTATTTATCGAGCATGAGTTGCGAGGTTCAATATCCTTATTCTACTGTAATATATTTCCTTACTTCTTTCGCTTTCGGCGTTGTATTCATTTCTAATTTTGTACAATCCTTTGTATTTTTCCACCGGTTTTTTGCATTCTTTTGATGTCTTTTCATTGAAGTTGTCTTCATTTTTCATGGTTTGTGTTTTGTTATATTTTTATATATTTCATATTCTGTAGGTATATTCTTTTAATATGCCTATTATTTTCATTACTTTTTTATTTCTTTTTTCTATTTTCATACGTTATCAATTTTGTTTGTAAAGTTTATGTTACTTAATAAAATTAAGTAGTTTGATGTTTTAACAGTTTTTAATTCCGTCCTTCGCAAGTTGTGGCTGTACATTTTTCCGTAGGACTCCACCGTTGTTATCTTAGATATCATGTGTCAGTATCATGTTTGTGATATTGTTGTTTCATAATTTGTCTTGAGATTCTGTCACAATAACCAGATTGTTTACATAATTTAGAAACAGCAGCTTCTATAACTTGGTCGAGTTTTTATTAATTTATCTCAGTAGCTTCGATGTAATTGATTTTTGATTAGTCAGTCTATGAAATTTTCTCGAGTATGAATGTTAGCTGTATAGGATTGGCTCCTGTCAGTTCATTAAGGACATCCTGGTTACGGTCCGAGTGATGATGGAAGTCAATGTTTTGAAAAATTAATAGACATGGGTCATTACAGATGTCAATAACAATCAATCAGGAGTTTTAACTGAACTGTATCTATTATAAATCATTCTTGTTAACTTTTCTCCCCTTGATTATACTCTTACTTTTACTGCTTGTTTTCTTCAGTCTTACCGCTTCATTTCTATTACTATTACTACTATTATTATGATTGATATTATTATTATTATTATCATTTAATGGTTGAATTCATCAGTCAATTAAAGCTATACCACCATGGAAAACCTGGAAGCACTGGACG